TGTTGCGCGCGCGGTTCAGTCAGGGAATCGAGAGCGCCAGACGCGCACCAGTAACCGCTCATGGCGTGTTCTTCTGTTTCACTCGTTATCGAGAAAATACAACGGCATCGATTCTGTTGGTGAGGGCTTCGCTTAATCTCCCCTGGACATCAGATGCTTCTGACACATGACAGCAGCGTAGATCATCTGAAGGGTTTTGCCTTGTGCCATTACGCGCATGTTTTCTGTAGCCTAACTTTTTCAGAGTCCCACCGATCCATGTCGAGCGCGTTTATTACTTGGAGTTAACTCATTTTCCCGCCGAAGAGCACATCGCACTGATCCTGATGGATATTTATTCATCTAAATTATCATCCGCTGTGGATTACGGCATCGGTGCGTTCCTGCTGCTCATTGGTAAGATTGAGTTACTGGCTCTCCAACTTTTTTTAGTTAGTCTGATGACTATAATGGTTTGTTTGCAAACAAAAAGGATCGCTGCAATGCTTTTAATTCACTTCTTATATAAGTGACTCAAAGGAGATTTGTTATTGTGAAAAGGAAGTGTTTTAACAGAAAGAGATTAACAACTGATGTTGTTTGCTGCGGTGCTTTCAAACCCGGCGGGGCTAAAGCTGATACAAGCAAGAAGTCTTTAAATTAGAAACCTTTAACAGTTTTTCTCAGTCGCTTTTGGTTTATTTCTCAGATCAGGACTGAAATTCTTCAAACTACCTGTTCAATCTTCACATCATTGTGTCACTTGTGCACATTAGAAAAGCAGTTTCCTATTCCTTTGAACAAGTTGCAAATGCTGTTGTACATCCATGCAAATGATTATGTGCGATTTTCTGCTCTTCCTACATTTTCAATTATGTCATGTTGATCAAAATGTATAATTTTGGCCTCTGTCTGATTAGTTTCATCCACCACATCTAATTGTTTGTTTATGGCATAAGGATTTACATGCAAAAAGGCTGAACAAGCTGTCATAATATTTTGTCATAGTGCATTTTTCTACACATTTTTATTTATCTAGACTTTTAATCTAAATCTGTCTAGAATTGGTAAATTTCTCCAAGGTGAACATTGACTTTTTCTAATGAAGGGGCATCTCAAAGGAGATTGTCCCATGTACACATTTTTACATTTGTTTTTTCTTTGTGCTATGCAGTGCTGTCTTTTCCTTTCTGTATCACAACAATATGATCTGGCGACAAATTACAGTACAAAGAGCAAAAAAAAAAAAAAGACATATTTTATACCAGATCAACCCACTAGAGAACACTGTTAAATTGACAACATGACAAAGTATTCTGACAGTTTTATCCGTACACAAGGACTTGTCATTCTGACGGCACTGACACATTCATTGACACAGAAATGTAGTTTCGATAGATAAACTAATGATTTTGAGCAAGAAATTGGCTTTTGCAATTGTGTTTTGCTATTTGTATGCATTATTTTGTAAATACACTTACTGCTTTGCAAATGTCAATTCTGATCTGAGAAATGTACCAAAGCGACTGAGAAAAACTGTAATTTAACAACTTTTTTCAGGGCAATAACACACTCTTAAAAAAAAAACAAGCTGCTAGATATGACCTTAACCACTATAAGTGCTATGTAGAATCTATGAAGCACCTTTAATGGTTCTCCAGTGGTTCATAGGAGTGGTTAAGCTGCTGTATAATACTATATAGTTCTATGTATCCAGGCAAGGCAAGGTTATTTATATAGCACATTTCATACACAATTTCAAACTGCTTTACATAAACAGGAATAAAAGAAACAAGTACAAGTAAATAAAAACAATAAATAAAATGACTAAAACAGATGAAAATTTGACTTAAAGACTTAAAACAGGTTATAAAAGAATGAAAAAGAAAGGAAAGACATAGCACAGTGCTCATTCAGCAAAGGCACAGCTAAACAGGAGTGTTTAAGCCTTGATTTGAATGTGCCTAATGTTGAAGCACTTCTGATCATTTCTGGAAGCTGTGAATCATAAAAAATGGGTTATTTTATAGTGCAATTAATTTGAGTGCCACAGTATATAGCATATTAGAGTGAATATAGTGATATATGGCAGCTTAACCAACCCCTCCAAAAAACTATTGCAGGTTTTTTATATGTTTCATACATAGATTGGTTTTCCTATAATCACAAGTCAAAAAATGCTAAAGAACCGTTTTTCCAATCTCCCTTCCACCCTCTCCATCTTCGCTTCAGTATACTGTCATCCCAGCAAACAATTTTGTGTTTAACAGACATCTAACAGACATCTAATGTAGCTTGGCTAAAACAAGGCTAAACTTGAGCCACCAGTGAAAAACTAAAAGACATCCAAGATTAGCCCAAAACTAGACTAGTCTTCAAATAGACAGATTAGACAGACTTTATATGTGTAGTCATTCATTTCTGTTTATTTGATGAGTAGTCTAGTTTTGGCCTATTCTTTGATGTCTATTAGATTGTCACTGACAGCCCAAATTTAGTTTTGTTTTAGCCAAGATGACTAATAGACGTCTTTAAAAAAAAAAAAAAAAAAAAATGCTTGCTGGATGTCACAATAAAGACAGACAGAAGTAAACCAGAAATATTTAAAATATTAAAACAGTTCATGTAATAATGGATGTTCATTAGCTTTTGGGTTACTTTTAAGCACAGACGAAGTCAAAATTATTAACCCTCCAGTTTAATAGTTTTTTTTCAGCACAATTCTTAACATAACAGTTTTAATGAGCATTTTCTAATTACTAATTTCCTTTGTATTTGCCATGATGGCAGTAAATATGTTACTATAGTATCTTCAAATATCGTATTCAGCTATTCAGTGCAATTTAAAGGCCTTAGTATGTTAATTAAGTTAACTGGGTAGGTTAGATTAATAATGCAGGTTACTGGATGGTTTGTTTTGAAGCCAATCAAAATACATATATTGAGGGCAAATAATAATGATCATGAAAATTGCTTTGAAATGCTTAAAACAAGTTTTATTCAAGCCAAACTAAAATAAATAAGACTTTCTTCAAAATGAATATTGTATAAATGTCCTTGCTCCCTTATAAATCACTTGGCAAATATCAGAATTAATTGAAAACAGATTGCTAGAGCATATTTGATCTGTCATTCCCTCCCATTCTTTGTGATGAACATCATTCGGTCATTTTGTTCACTCATTCAGTATTTATGAGAAACCGAGTCATGTCATGAATTTAGACAGCTAAGAGAAAATCGTTTTTCTGTAGTCAAAGTATTTCCCACATTATTACTTCAAGGATGAAGAGATTCTGCATTCTCATTCCACATCCATTGTCTACCTTTTCCTCAAGAGAGGTCAAATCACATTTATATGTATAGCACTATGTATGTTTCAAAACAGCTTTATGGAAATACACAGAAAAATGTCTGAAATAAAAGGTACACAAGCTGTCATTGGAGTAGTTACCTTTTCAATATAATATTTGTACAAAAAAAGATCCATTTTGACACCTTAAAGATACATACAGTGGTATCTGAACTGTATATACCTACAGTACCGTTTGATTTCCTATGTACTTTGAGTGTGGTCCCTAGGTACAAGCATGTACCTTTTGAAAAAGCCTTTTGTGACAGCTTTTGTACCTTCATTTCTGAGAAAGCCCATGCAATTCACAATCAATCGCTATTATTCATTGTTATAAAGTTCAGTAACTCTGTTAGTATTGCATAGTCAATCCATTAGTTCACCCCCAAAATGACTCATTGTAGACCAAATCTATAAACATACTGGCAGAACAAAAATTAAGGTATTTTTCATTGATATCCTAAAGATTTCTGTCTCCCAAAAAGCTTCAAAACATTCATAAATAAAATAAACAATGTCACTACTGAGCATGTAAAGTCTAAATATTCCGAAATACATCAAAATACAAAAATCCATAAGCAGATTTAATTTAGCTTTCAATTCATACAGCTTGACGCTCCAAAATAGACTTCATTCTGTCTTGCGAAGAAGTGAAATATGTGCTGAATATTCATTGAGAAAGCATGTTTGAGTCGTGACTAAATCAGAGTGATGTAAACATGATGCGAATAAAAGCCTGTTCATCGTGTAAAAGTATTGTTTGATAGTTTTTTTTAATATTTATATTATATCGCTTTACAGATGTTTTGAATCCAACAGGTTTGTGTGAATACTTTCAAAGGAGAAACATAAATCAGATTTAATTAAACCTGATTCTACAATAATAGCATAACCGTATATAACATAATATCTTAATTTGTGTTCTGAAGATGAACAAAAAAATAAAAAATTTGAAATGCATCAATACAATTAATCTGTCTACGATCCCAAATCAGAAAAAGCTGGGAGAGTATGAAAAAGGCAAATAAAAAAGGAGTGATTTCTAAATTTACTTTGACTTGTATTTCATTGCGGACAATACAACAAACACGATTTACTGTGTTCCTCACATTATTGTTATTGTTCTGTTTTGTTTTTTCTTTCATAATAAACACATTTTCCAATTTTGGCTCTTGCAACACATTTCCAAAAAAGTTGGAACAGTAAACTTTGTAATGTTGCCATTCATTTTCACAACACTTATAAGACGTTTAGAGACTGAATAAAACAAGTGATGAAGTGTTTCAGGAGTAATTTTGCTCCATTCTACCTGCAAACAAGTCTTAGGGTGGGCAACAGTATAGTCACCATGAAGCATTTTACACTTCAAAGTGCATCACACATTCTCTATTGGAGACAGGTCTGGACTGCAGACAGGCCAGTCAAGTCCCTGTATCCTCTTTCTCTGCAGCCACTACTTTGTAACGTGTGCAGAATGTGGTTTTGCATTGTCTTGTTGAAATATGCATGGGCATACTTTCAAAATCTCTATGTACTTTTCAGCCACCACAGAAGTGCAAGTTACCTTTGCTAAGGTCACTGACACAACCCCACGACAGGACAGACCCTGGCTTTTGGATTTGTTGGTGGTAACAGTCTGAAAGATGCTTTTCCTCTTTGGTTTGGAGTACACAGCTTCTATTTCTCCCAAACAATACCTGAAATAGTGATTCAGCTGACCACAGTACACATTTCCACTGTGTGATGGTCGATCCCAGATGCCTCGGAGCCCAGAGAAGTTGACGGCGCTTTTAGACACTGTTAACATAGGGCTTCCTTTTGGCACAGTACAGTTTTAACTGGCATTGGTGGACGTACTGTGGTACTAGTCCTGTGCCCATGTCGCAATATCGCTTTTAGATGAATGGTGATTCTTGATGCAGTGCCACCTGAGGGATCAGAGATCACGGTAGTTCAGTTTAGGCTTGCACCCTTGTCCTTTACGAAATTTCTCCAAATTCCTTGAATATTTTAATGATGTTATGCACTGTTGAAGGTGAAATATCCAAAGCTTTCTTTGAGGAACATT